GAGACAATTTCGCTAACTTCAGACTCAACATCACCCACGGCCTCAAACTCTCGTGCGGAAAACACTTCCTCTTTTGCTAGCCAATACAGTGCTGCTTTGCTAGATTTCTCTAACCAATGGCATGCCACGAAATTTGGAGAGCAGCTCGTTTGCGCCAGTTTTGTAAGTTGGAACGCTTTCTTAAATCAAAGCAATTTTTTTTTGGGAGGCGTGTTTTGTAAGTCGAATTTTTCAGTAGAAGAAGCATTCGTAAGTAGAGGTACCACTGTAGTTACCTATGATTAAATTCCATTGACTACAATGGAATTGGCTTCTGTACAGGACATTCTAACCATAACCACTGGACTCTACAAAGATCTTTCCATAACCTTGCAACAATTACAACCATATTTTAATGAATTGCAATAACTAATATCTAATTTGCAAATTCTAAACTCTATGTTGTGGGGGTAAGTTTAGCTGCTTGAGAACCCTAGAATTTTCTTTAGTGCTTTTCTTTTTTCTTTTGCCCATTTTGTGAATTTATTTAGCAAGTGACACATGGGAAGGAAAATCATAAATGAAGTGGGAGGGGGAGAAAAATGGGATTCAGAAGCAATGTAGGTCAACTTCTTCATTCCCTTGTGCTCTTTCAAACAGGGTGGATGCAGTCTCCTTCAATTGTTTGTACTTTAAGTTATTTCCAATTTATGGTGCCTGGGGTACTGTGCCCCTAAGGTGAAGCTATCATGGGGTCTTCTTGGCAAGATTGTTTCAGAGGGGCTTTGCCTTCCTCTGAGGATGAAAAAAAATGGGACCTACCAAAGGTCATCTAGTAGGTTTTTATGGTCAAGTAGAATCCAACCTCTTGGCTGTTGTCATCTTGTTTGTAACTTGACAAATCCTTCATGATTCAGGTCTCTATTTTGTTTTGTGCTGTCAATATTTCTGTGTAGCCACTATCTTCCAGACTTTGGAGGTGGTGGCATCAGATCGTGTCAAATGTTTCAACCCACTGACATTTTCCAATATCCATCATCAATAAAACCAGAAATGACAATAGTGCAGCTTGTTGGTCACATATGATGGCTGAAATCTTTCTGTGTGGTCCCAGAGCCCTCTTGAAGTCTCTAAACACCAGTGTGTATGTCTGTGTTTAAAAAGAACATGCAGAAAAATGGATGAAAATCTCTTAGGCATGAAATTGCATTTTTTTTTAAAATAGAGAGGGTATATCTTCCAGGGGTTCAGGGAAGGTATAGAAGATGGGGCTTGTGTAGCCACAATTTGGTGTGGTTGCCCATAGACTCTCTGCTTCCCTGCTTCCCATTGCTTTGACAGCCAGCATGTCCACAAAATGTCCATTTCACAAAATGTATATATCCATACTCTTGTTAAGAAAGTGTTCCTGTTTGGCGCTCCAGCTTGTCAGATATACTTTCCTCCAAAATACACATAATAATCTGTTAGCAAGTCAAACAAATCAGCTCACTCTCCCTAGCAGTTTTCTTTCTTTCTTCTTGTCCAACAGGCACTCAAACTGTCTTGGCTCCTAGATATCCACTGAGCATATCATCCCTCCTTGAACTATTTGCTTGGAAGGAAGGGTGCTGTCCCCTTATTTATTAATTTTTTTTAATTTTAGGAATGATGATTTCAATATCCAGAGCCTGTGTGGCATAGTGGTATGAGTGATGGACTGTAACTCCGGAGACCAGGGTTCGAATCCCACTCTGCCATGAAACCTACTGGATGACCCTGGGCAAGTCACAATCTCTCAGCCTCAGAGAATGGCAGTGGCAAACCTCTGTAAAATCTTGCCAAGAAAACCCCATGATAAGTTCACCTTAGGGTCTCCATAACTTGGAAATGACACACAAGCCACTGAAATGAGTCATGGATGGAAGGGACTCTTTCCTCCACCTCTATTTGATGCTTTAAACACCTGTGCTGTGCCACAATAGGAAAACTCTCAGATCTTCCCTTTAAACTCACAACTTAAGATGCTGCTTATCCGTATGGTAGACAATTATACCTTATTTCTAACAGAAACGTTGCTGTAGCTAATGAGAGAGCAGAGCCATAACCTCTGGCCTGCCAAGTTCCAGTCAGTTGTTTCACCAGCTATGTTGCCAGGTGAAAAAATTCCAGATGGAAGCAGAAAATCTGCAGGTGGGAGTCTCTTTTCACAGGCAATAGCTGCCCCCACAGCTACAAACAGGCAGCCAGGTCTTATTACCGAATGCAAACTCTCCAGAGGTCAGATTCAATTCAGTTCTTCATTTGCATGTCCGTCTGCATCTGGATGCAATTCTTCCCAAGCAGATGTCCTCCCCAGAGAGATTATCTTCCAAAAGAGGAGTCTGGAGCTAACCCATGACAGGAAAGGAGCCAGCTAACTGATACCTAGGAAAGCCTTCTGATACACATGCTGATGAACTTAATGCTGTTTTTATGGGTGACAGTAAATCATATATGAGAAACCCACTCAGGGATGTGTCTTGAACTTCTTACCATACAACCTCCCCAATCTTGCATATTTTCAGTTTCAAATCAACTTTCAAAAATCACTTTTTTAAAGGTCCTGTTCCATACCTTTTTTTAAAGCTTTATTTTTGCTGATCTGATGAGAGTTGTGTATTCAGTTAAAGCTGGCTGCAATATCATTATATTATGTCATTGTCTCTTTGACTTTGGTTCATAAAGGGATGGCATAATTTAATTTAAAGTGTTTTGAGAAGGAAACATCATCATCTTATTTTTACCCTGGCCTTTCCCCAAGATTGGGACCCAAAGCAGTTTACAAATTTAAATGTTTAAAATATAGATAAAAATATACAAAAGGTCAACATTAAAGTAGAATTAAACTATTAACATCACTTAAATTATAAAAGGCAGTTAAAACAGTATAATTTGAAACAGTGCCCTCGCTGCAATTGAAGTGTTAACCTTTTTAAAAGGGAAACAAAAATATGCAAGTCTGAATGTTAAATTTGTTAAGAGTTCAGGTTTCATCAGCAGAGCAGCAAAAGTGAGGATCAGACTATTTATTCTAAATCTGCCTTCCTAAGGAATAAAAACTTACTCCAAAAAACAACAAACATGCAGTTCGTAGTTTAAAAACAAACAATAATGGCTTTAATAAGTATTTACATAAAACAACTAAAGCCTAATCTAACTGGAGATGGTTTGGGTAAAGAGTGATAAATCTCACTATCTATTTTAGATAGCAAGAAGATGGGACTACAACTGACTGTTGATACTATCCATTTTGAATCTTGGGAGGGAGCTGTTAAACTGTCTCCAAGAGTCAGTGACCAAAGTCACATGATAGTTATAATGGTGGGGGGGGGGTAGGAGGAAATCCCTATCTATATAATGAGGGACAGGAGAATGCAGTGCATAATTCTTCCAACAAAAGCCCTTTCCTGAAAGACTTCCAATTTGAAAACCCTTCCGTTCTTGTTTTATGCTAGAAGGGTGTAGATTACCAGATAATTAACTATTGTCAAACATTTTGTCCTCTTTACTATTCTGGTATAAAAATGACATTAGCTGAAGTGGCATCACTAGCATTGGTGTCACTCAGTGTGGATGCCTGGAAAGGGATTGTGTGTGGGGGGGTTGGGCCTCCCCCTGCTTCCCTCTCCGGTCGCTTGCCACCTGCCCAGATGCTCACCCAGGCCTTCCAGGGGCTGGGCAGCTGGCTGGGCAAATAAGACAGCAGGAGGGGATGGAAGGGGTATGTGGTGTCCTTCTCCAGTGCCTGGGCTCCCTCTTCTGAGTGAGCCACGGTAGCAAAGGCAGGAGGGGTGCTTGAACATGCACCCCTCTTTCTCCACTGTCTTAGCTCTCTTGTTGGAGAGAGCCATAGCACCAGAGAAGGTGGGAGAGGGGCATGTGCATGCTTAATAATAATAATAATAATAATAAAATTTATTTATACCCCGCC